TAAAAATCATCTTACTAAGACATATTACTGGTAGATAATATATAATGATACTGATATTTATATGCAAGTAGTCTGCTATACTGTTATAAAAATCTACATGACAAGCTACCAAAATTTCATCTATTTTTTTCATAAACTTCTATATCATACTGTATGAGCCATAAAAGCCTGATCTAGGGATGGGCGATATCTTATCGTTTGCGATATACCGGTAAAAATTCTTCCCACGATAAGAATTAGTCTTCCTGCGATAATAACGATAAAGTCTAGTTGCTGACATATTTCTGTGTGCGACAGTGCGGAGCGACATCACAGAAAGCGGACGTGAAATTGAGGAGTAGCCTATATCGCTAAATGAGGAGCTCGAGCTGTAACTGGTTTGGTTAGGGCTGTACAGTGCACAAAAAATCGGTCTGAATAAATGTACTACAGTAGCTAAAATGTCTCTACCTCCGTTGTGCGTTTTATTCAGATAACTGGATACCTTCCTGGAGCATCGTCAGTAGTATTTCGCGTTGAGCTCTCTCGGCCACCGTATCTTAAGACCCGGCAAAACATTTTAGGAAAACATTTTGTATTTGTTGATGTCATTACATTGTTTAGAGCATTAAAAAAAATGTAAACAACATTTTTTTTTTTTTATTATATTTCATTCACAAGTTATGCTACGTCCTTGGTAGAGGACACCAGGGACTCAATTTCTTTAAAAAAAAAAAAAAGACATGAATGAACATGCATCGGCAAAAACAATTGATTTTTTTTTAAATCACCAATACATTTCCCGGTGTCCTCATATGAGGACATGTATGAAATCAACATTCTTTTTCGTAACAGAAATTTATATTTTGATTTGAACCCCATAACATTTTCCTGAGATGTTGATTTATGACACAGTTTAAAAATGTGTCCGATTTAAATGACAATTACAAAATATTATCATATTTCCATAAGAGTGTCACTAAATTAATATCAGACATTTTTGAAGACCAAGGAGAGGGGGTGGTCATAGTGAAACATCCAAACATTTAGTATCTCTGAAAAGCCCTGAATGTGCTCTGTACAGGACATCCAGACTTAAAACTGTGGCATGTATAGTCTCAGAGAAATTCATTAATGTCCTCATATGAGGATGCAGGGTCTCAGGAGGTTAATGCTCACCCTATTTTGGGTAAAAATAGGAAAGATAATACATTTCTTAAAAGAAACAGGATTCCCTGAATTATCGTCATTGATATCGTTATCGTAATAAATACCAGAAATATCATTATATATTTTTAAGCCCATATCGCCCATCCCTATTAAATATGATAAAAAAAAATTAAAAAACTTTTTAGATGTTTTAAATATTTTGCCTGAAGGTCCAATAAACTGTTTTAATTTAAATGGTTAAAAGGGTTAATAGGGTTAAAAGTATCTTAAAACAGTTTTTTTGCTGCAAAATATGTCATGTCTGGGGTCGATTGGTAGCCAAGTTATTTTTTCACGTCTTCCTCTTTTCCCAAATTTTACAGCTTCACCGTCGCCCAAATGTGAGAAATGGCCATCGGAATGTTCCTCTCGTTTTTTCATGAGTCTGAACACAATAGTGAGCTCTCTTCAGAGATCCCATCATGACCAAATATTTATGAGAGCTGTAACTGAAGTCTAACTTATGGAAACTAAATCTTTAAACATTTGGCAGACGTTTCACACCCAGCTCTATTACGAGAGAAATGCTTTTGTTCTTACGAGGCTAATAATAGCGCTGTAAATGTAGATATATTTATAGCCAACTCACCACCCTCCCAGACAAGCCTTATATTCACTTGTATTTCCTGTGTTTATTATATGCTCCCCACCGCTTTGTCATTAGCTCGCTCGCAAAACATTCGCAAATGATTTTTTTCGCATTAATCTAGTAGATAAAGCATTAATTGATGTCTAAGGTGATTTTGGGTTACATACTATACATCTATGAGCTCTCTACAAGCAGGTGTGTATGCTAGCATATGCTAGCAGTGGTTGTTTACACAGGTGCCGCTATATAAACATACTAAACTGCTAGCGTAGCACTGCTAATGAAACTGTAGATTTCAATTATTAGCATGTTAGTCCACTAAATTCTAAGAAATATGAATAAATGTGAGGAGAGGCCTTTCACGGCAACATCGGCAGCATTTAATGCATTTCTATGCCATTAAACCTGAATATATATATAGCTCTTGTCTTGAGCTCTCGATAGATGAAGCTTGTTAAAACCACAATGTTACGTGGGATAAACCTCCATCAGCATCACAAAGCTCCGTGGGTAACAATAGCCGAGTATTTGCTAATTAGAGTCAGGAGTGGGTTCAGACTTTCTAGTGCTACCTTTTTTGTTTGTGGTTTTTCCGTTAGTGCTTCAATGTATGATTTAGCGAGCGCACATGAGAGCTGCACTAATTACAACTTCAACACCATGCTACGACTGCTAATGTCAAATTCGACGGCTACACCCTTGCCTCTATTAACAACTATTGTGTAAACAATTAGCCGGGGCGAGAAAGTAGTCATAACATCAAGGGGAAACTACTCCACCACGGCGAAAGGTGAAGTGCAAACACAATTAAAGGTAAATGATACAGACAGCAATTAGCCATACACAAATGCTAATCCACACAAAAGTGGGAATACAATGCTTGAGCTAAAGAGCGCGAGAACAGATAATAAAGCTCTATAAGTAAGAGCACAGGGAAAAGCGTAACATTCAGCTTTATAACAAAGACATGAAAACTGAATTATAATTAATTTCTGACCAGCAAAATACGTAGAAAAAACATATCCAGATATCAAAATAGAGATATATACTATGAGATATATATCCAGATATATACTGTAGGTCAATCCTCAGTATAAATGAATTCTAGTACAACTCATGAGCTATTGAACGTGATGAGAGGAAAACAATAAGGTGCCTGTAGCTCTAACAGCACAAAATGAATGATTTGTATTGGGTGCTGTCAGATTTCCCAGTGGCATATCAAAACATGTCACGGGCGGGTAAAATACAGCATGCTCACAACCAAAATCTTTCACAGAGGCAGACATGCACGAGTTACTAAAACCCTCACAGTCTTCCCAATCCCATCAATATTTCTGTCAGACAGATGTGTATTGTGGAAAAAAAAAGTTAAAACAAGCGAAAATAAAAAATGAATGACACCTGACTGGTCTCTTCGGCTGGTGTAGTAAACCGTCAATTATAGATCACTGTGTGTCAATACATCATTTGAAATACTCACACAAATACATAATGTATTTTTCAGGCCGTCCCGAACAAAAGGCCTCACATATAGCCTTGAGACTCTGTCATTATTTATGGAAAACTGTGAACTAATTAACTGTCCAGTCAAATGGCAACATTTGTCTCATTCATATTAATAGTTCGACTAGTGTACTGTAGTGTTGAGTATGCTGGGAAACATTATAGGTGAGATTCATCAAAACATCACGTTATTCTGTTATTCTAATTGTACTTGATGAGTAAAAGCCCGTTCACACCAATTTAAACTATAGTTTTAATAATTGTTCTAATTCTATGAGAATAGCGAAGTCCACACTACAACTATAATTATGACAAAACAGAAGAACTACATTGTTGGAATCACTTTTTTCTATTGGCATCCAATCAGGATCCACCCGTTGTTAAAGCATAGGAATGTACTCACCCTCAGGCCATCCAAGATCTTAGATATGCTTGTTTCTTCATCGGATCAGATTTGGAGAAATTTAGCATTAGTTCAAGGTTTACTCCACCCCCAAAATGAATATTTTGTCATTAATCACTTACCCCCATGTCGTTCCAAACCTGTAAAAGCTTCGTTCGTCTTCGGAACACAATTTAAGATATTTTGGATGAAAACCAGGAGGCTTGTGACTGTCCCATTGACTGCCAAGTAAATTACACTGTCAAGGCCCAGAAAAGTATGAAAGACATCGTCAGAATAGTCCATCTGCCATCAGTGGTTCAATCTGAATTTCATGAAGCGACGAGAATACTTTTTGTACGCAAACAAAACAAAAATAACGACTTTATTCAACAATTCGTCTCCTCCGCGTCACCGTAGCGCCATTTTGGAGAGTATCCACTGAACGCAAACTGCGTATGCTGTTCTGTGTCAGCCGCACCACACGGATATGCCGTTTTTGTTCAAATCAAAGTGTAAATAAACGTAAAAAACGTATATGTGTGGTGCGGCTGACACATACAAGTAGAACAGTATACGCAGTTTGCTTTCAGTGGTGACGTGGAGGAGACGAATTGTTGAATAAAGTCATTATTTTTGTTTTCTTTGCGTACAAAAAGTTTTCTCGTCGCTTCATAAAAATTCAGATTGAACCACTGATGGCAGATGGACTATTCTGACGATGTCTTTCATATTTTTCTGGACCTTGACAGTGTTATTTACTTGGCAGTCAATGGGACAGTTACAAGCCTCCTGGTTTTCATCCAAAATATCTTAAATTGTGTTCCGAAGACGAAAAAAGCTTTTACGTGTTTGGAACGACAATGGGGGGATGGGATCAATGACAACATTTTCATTTTGGGGTGGAGTATCCCTTTCACTTGCCCACCAATGGATTCTCTGCTTCTTACAAATGTGCAGCTTTTTGCTTTTTGCTTTTTTGACTGGAGTCGTGTGGATTACTGGGATGTTTTTATCAGCTGTTTGGACTCTCATTCTGACGGCACCCATTCACTGCAGAGCATCCATTGGTGAGCAAGTGATGTAATGCTGAATTTCTCCAAATCTGTTCTGATGAAGAAAGTGAAGAAACAAACTCATGCACATCACGGATGGGCTGAGGGTCAGTATATTTTCAGTACTATTCGTAAAACACCTTCATTCTTTATTTTCTGAGAATTATACTGAATTGTAGGCCAACAGACATCCCAACTGATTCCCAACTCAATGTAAAATGCTTTTAGATCACTTGACGTTTTGACCACCCAACACCAAACCAATGAAAGCATCACGTACCTTCAGTTCCCGGAAGAAGATGCTGCTCCTGGCCCATTCTACAATGGAGAACAGTGTCTGGTCAGCCATCTTGCACATGAGGCCAAAAGTGTTGAGTTTCTCGTGCTTGCCTCGGCTGGCCTGCTCCTGCTGGAGGTACGCTAGGATCTTCGCTTGCACCTGTGGCTCGTCCGGCTCGCACTTGAGCAGCTCCACCACCAGGTGAGGGAAGGTGGGCGGCGACCCGCCCGCGTAGGCTTCTACATACGGGTAGCCCATGAGGGACTCCGGCGAGCTTGTGTAGGGGTCGGGATACTCTGACTTGATGGTGCGGCTCTGGAAGTGGCCATACGCCTGGTAGCCCTGCAGTCCTCCGGCGTGCGGCGGCATAGCCATGCTGACCGGAGAGGTGACGAAGGGACTGCGGTCAAAGTCTGCAGGTGGCAGGCCTGCGCTGGAGGAGCTGTGGGGGTGGTGATGGTGGTGGTGATGATGGTGGTGGCTCAGTGGAAGCCCCTTGGAGGCTGAATGGATGTTCTGAATGGCAGAGGTAATGGTGAGGTCCGCTGGGACGGTTTGCATGACTTGCGTCATTGCCTCCAGCTTGAGTCCGTTGGCCCGGATCAAGGCTTTTTTCTGTTGCTTGAGTGCCCGGTCTCGTTTGTACATGGGGCCGAACTTGTTGCGACCTCCTCTCATTCGATCGGCCCTCACAGCTTATAAAAGGCAAAACACAAAATTAGTCGGGTATCAGTTCATGAGGAAATCACAGAATTGACTTTTTTTTTTATTTTTTTTAACTAAAATAATAGATGAAGTGTGTAATTTCTGTGTCACTAGTGTCACCGAACAGAATTGCAGAAGTAAGGACTTTTTCCCTGCAGGTTGTGGGTTATTCAGAACAGAATTGAGAATAACATTTAAAAACATGATATTCCTGTATTTCAGTTGAGTTTGAATTTAGGTAGTAAACAGGATGCAGAATTGGAATTCAAATTTAAATTTAAAGAAGTAAAATTTTAATAACTATTAACTGTCAATTGTATCAAGAAAATCAGTTGTATCAAGAGAAACTTGACAAAGACTTGAAAATAGGCATTTTGGCCAGATAGATAGATAGATAGATAGAATGTTTGCACCAGAATGTTTATACATTTCAAAGGAGTAACTGACAAATTTCTTATAGTTACTTTAAGTATACAAAAACAAAAGTATTTTAATATCAAAAACTTCACACACTTCACCTTTAAATAGTGAAATAGACTCTTTTTGAAGTTTGGTACACAGTTTCAATTGATATACACCACAGCAGAGAAGACTGGCCACACACTTTTATAGGCCGGTTATTTATTTGCTACAAGCAATTAGTGTAAATTTCATGTGTGAATTTTACATTCAGTGGTGTTAGTTTGTGTTGCTACCCATGTGCCCTGTTATTTTCAAAGGCAGACCTAGAGCAAACTCAGTATAATCGAGCCAGAGGACACAATTTAGAGAGAAACGGTGCTAATGATTCAATATTAAACTGAAGCAAGACAAAGTCAAGCGGACGAGATCATCATTATGGCAAATAAATGAAGAGAGTGCCATTGTCCGGAAGTGACTCTGATCCCCGCCACAGGGCCGTAGACTCCACTTTCGTCTGCTGGGTCCCATATTAATTATTTATGCTTAATTATTTCTTTTTTATGCTCCACGTTGTCGGCAGGTGGATGGCTGGAGGTTCCAGCAGCGCGTTAAACACACAGCAGCATATGCATAGAGCATGCGTTTGTAGACGCGTTCGTGTTGACCGCCGCTCGTTAGGCCCTAATATCTCACAAATGGTAGATCTTAAAAAAAATAAAACAATTAAAAGAAAACCCTCGGTCCAACAGCTGCCTTGGGAGTGATTTTAATGGTCCTTGTCACAGCGGTGAGTGTTTGTGTGTGTGTGGTTGTCACTACGTGTATGATCTGATTGATCCGGCGAGAGAGGGAGGCAAAGTGTTACCACAGCGATCCCGCTGACAGCTCTCGTAACAGTCAAAAATGATTCCTGAGCAACTTAGTGGGAGATGTTGTGTGTGTGTGTGTGTTTTTGGCTCTTAATGTGGTTGTTAAAAATTTATCCAATCAGAAAAACTGTGGTAAGTTTAACTATTAATGATTCCTGAGCAACAGGGTAATTAATGAGATGGAAACTAATAGTTGGCCCTTATGGGAAATCACAATTAGACGTGCAACTTAGATCATGAATGCATGCCCCCATCCGTGCGCATGCACGCTTACACACTCTGTCTGACACCATCCCCCTCTTCCTTTTTGTCTTCTGATAAGATTTTTTTTCTCACAGCGTCTAATTAAACAAGGTTATTTACATGCATGTCATACAGATTTTTTGGCATAAGATGAGGGGTTTTGTATGTGCATTTCTGGCTGTGTTAGTAGTAGTATTGTTTTAGTACACACTGGTTGTAGTATACAGTATGTATACTTAGGCATAGTATGCAATTTGTCTGTATGCAAAGAATCGCCTACTACATTTGCATTGTGTGTGTATTTCTGGGTGTATTCAGAATCTCACACTACCAAACTTATCCTAATATTGATGAAGTATATAGTATGCATACCATGTACAGTATGTACATTTTCAGGATTACTACTATTGTTGCAGTATATAGAATGCACAGTATGCAAATTTTTTCTATGCATAACCTTATGTGCACTTAAGGCCGTTTGAAATAGCATACTACTACTATTGTTGCTGTATATAGTATGCATGCGTATACCATATACAGTATGCAAATTTCCTGTATGCATAGAATGACATTTTGTGCATTTCTTGTTTTTATTTGAAATGGTATACTACCAATCCTACACTTATTACTGTTGCAGTATATACTGTAGTATGCATACTATGCAAATTTTCTGAATACATAGAATTACCTTCAGTGCATTTCTGGCTATGTTTCAAATAGCAAGCTACCATACTACTTCTACTATTTTTGCACTAAATAGTATGCATACTTGCACAGTTTACATTTTCTGTATACATAAAATTAATTACTACATTTACAAAAAAGCACACTACACAGAATAGCATACTGTATATCCCATAATGCAATGCCCTCAACTTTCGATTCCTAGTGTGACGAATGAGCTTGAAATAATATCAGTAAAAAATTTTAAATATTTTTTGATTGGGTTGCCGAAAGTGCATACAAAAAAATTTATAAAAATGCAAAACAAACTTTCATTTACGTTATTAAACGTGATTTTGGAAATGTTTATTTTGGAATAATGCATACTGTTTCACTTACTCAGATTTTTTTAAATAGTAGCTAGTATACCGTATTTATTGTCTAGCATTCAGTGTGTAGTAGGCTAGTATTCTATTCTGAACACAGTCCTTTTTTCCCTTGTAAACTGTGTATCTATTCTGTATGTGTTTGTAGCCTGTGTCTGTGTGTGTACATGACTTATAAAACCAATTTGTGAGTTACTCAAATGGCTTGAGGAAAGCAATTGCCTCGGTAATAAAAGCAGTTGCCTGATCTAATTTACTTGAATTGGCCGTCCATAGATGTTGTTTGTTTGTGCGTGTTCTGCGTCTGTGTAAACGGGGCCCGTCTGGGCAGATTCGAGTGCTGCTTATTGTCTGATTTATGTGTGTTTAATATACAGGAATATTAAGCGTTGCTTGGCTGAGAATCCCTGTCCTATCACAGGCATATGAATGCCTCCCCTGGCCGGCTCCTGACACACAGTTTGTCATGTCTGCCGGAGCTCTACTCTGAAGGCGCGCCGTTCCATGCGCACACATGAATAGCTATGATACCTATGCATAAGTAATGGGACAGCTTGCTGCCGCCACCGCCAGCGGCCGGGAGACGGCAAACGCGTATCAGCCCCCAAAAATGACAAAGTGCGCAATGCAAAGTGTGGAACATGTTTTGAATATCCACGGAAGATCTGTGCCAGATCGTCAGATTCATCAAGGTCCTTAATATGGATAACAGACGTTTGATGAAATCTAAACTATTTTACGCTCCGCTGTGCACAACATTGGACTCGAATGGAATGAATAAATGCACGGGGCTGGTCTATGTAGCTTCCTTTTCACTTCCTCAACGCCGTACTAATTATACAGAGGTAAAAAAAAAGATTGGATTCTTTTTCTTAATCTGTAACTGAGCCACTAATGTACTGTATAAAAGAAGATAATTACAGGCTTCCTTGGAAAGACAACATGCTCTCCTGTGCTTTTTCCAGAACTTTAAAACAGCAGGCTTTCCTTATCTGTATTGATAATAGAGCTTCCATGGAGACATGGAAGGCCACTTGTCTGTGTCACACCGATATGGATGTTTTGTTTTGCTACTTGTTCAATTATGGTGAGTGTTGCGCTCAAATCTGTTTGCTGAAAGCTTCTGATAATACACAAAAAAAGATTTAAACTGAAGCATTTATTTCCGATAGGTCCATCACTACAATTCATGGGACCTGGGACCCGCAACAAATAGGTAAAGTATATATTATTATTATGACTACTACTACTACTATTATAAAAATAAAATAAAAAGTTAAAATCTTAAATTTCTATAAATTCCTAAAATTGGCATACATTTTATGATAAAATGAAGTCATGAATTTTTATGATAAAATTAAATCTGCAATCCATCACTAATGTAGGTCCTTCACTATTATAATTTTTATATTGTTTTTTTTTACATATAAAAAAATATTAAAAACAACTTCAAATTCTTTAAATTATCCTTAACTTTATGACAAAATGATATCATAAGTGATGGGTTGCATGTTCATCATTAAAATTCATGGGGCCTGGAACTTTTGACTAATAGATCATCTATATTATTATTATTATTATTATTATGTCTTTTTTATTAAAATTGCCACCAATGTTATGACAAAATTATGTCATAAATAATGGATTGCAGATTCATCATTAAAATGTATGGGACCCTGGTGCCCTGACTAATAAGTAAGCTATACAGTTATTATTATTATTTATTTATTTTTATAAGTTGCCATCAATGTAATGCAAAAATAAGTGATGGATTGCAGGTCCATCACTAAAATTCATGGGGTTTGGGACCATTGAATAATAAGCCAGCTTTACATTATGTATTTATTTATTTATTTTTATTTCAAATCTATTAAACAACATCAAATTCTTAAAAATTGTGATAAGTTTTATGACAAAATTGCACACCTTTGTTTCATACGAATAACCATAATTTCTTTAGCAGTAATTCTGTTTTCAAGCAATATGCATGAAACTTACTGCTGTGGTTTGTATTCAAAACACCATTTTGGTTAACATTTTCCATCTCTGCAGCTTTCCTTGGGAGTACGATCTATCAGAATAAGCCTGTGGGGAGTATTAGCGAGCGCTCATCTCTTTGGACGGGTCTGACAGGGCGCTGGAGGGCCTCGTATCCTGTTGGTAGCATGCGGCAGCAAATCAAAGCCAGCTAGTTATAAAACGACACCGCTAGAAATTCTGCCCTCCAGCAGTTAAACAATTAACAGTCGTAGATCTACATACTAAGAGGAAAGAATCATGCAGTAAGCGTGTAGAATTCTTAGATGGGATTTGAAGAGATAGTTCACAATTCAAAAATATTGTTTTTGTGTTGTTTCACTTCTTTTCTGTGGAACCTAAAAAGAGACGTTTTGAAGAATGTTCACGCTGCGCGTTTCCATACAATAGGGACAAAAGCTGTCAAGCTCTAAAAAGTAAATAATGACTTTTATTTCAATCCGTTTCTAACATTTTCTACTTTTTTGACAGATGTTGTTCACTTTTATTGCATGGAAAAGAGCAGCTTGAACATTCTTCAAAACGTCTCCTTTTGTGTTCCTCAGAGGAATGAAAGTCCTACGGGTTTGTAATGATATTCAGGTGCGTAAACGATAACAGAATTGCTCTTTAAAGAGCTAAAGCTGTGTTCAGTTACAGGAAGAAATGCACAGATGAACTAAAAAGACTTCTTACCCTCCAGTTTCATGCCGACAGTGAGGCACTTCTGGAAGCGACAGTAGGGGCAGCGTTTCCGCTGGGTCTTGTCTATTTGACAGCTCTGGTTCTCTATACATGTGTAGCGCTTGTTGTTCTGCACCGTGCGCTTGAAGAAGCCCTGCAGAGTGAGGTGAATGAAGATGTCAAACTTTTGACCTCCGGTGTTTGTTAATGTGCTATTCAGCCACAGACAACCCACACACACGTTCAAAAAAAACAAACACTTGTATCCATTCACACAGAAAAAAAAGAGGTGTTACACACACTGCCACACAAGTAGACACATATAAAAGTAGAGCCACGGGCAGAGAAACGCTCCCTCAGCAGTCGACGCTCACTTGGATAAACACACACACCCACACAAAAACTGACATGTGCACCCACACGCACACTTGACATGAACAAACAGAAACGCAGGCTGGAAAGAAACAGATTGAAAAATGTGAGAAGCCGACTAGAGAGTGGACGAAATACCGACGCGATCACTTTAGGTGACCCGCTTGATATCCTCGCTAATATAAAGATCCGCTTTTAGCATTGTGACATACTAATACTACATGTTTTACGTGTTTCTGTGAGCTCCTCTAAAAGTAATTATGACCAGAGGCTCTGCAAGCCATCAAAGTTGGATTTGGAGTCATTTGGTCTGAAAGTTGGAGTTTACTTTTAACAAATGTTGTTCTGTTTTTTAATTGAACATCCAAACAGGGGCGTACAAATATCAAAATTTCTTCCAAATAAATTCTCGTTGAACTTCTCTGATCCTATTATTCATACAGCAGAGGCAAAAAAGCAACTGAAAAAATCCAATAAATTATATCCATAATTTACAGCCGTAGGATTACAAGATTCTACCTGCAACTGTTCTGAATTCATTTTCAGGGCAGGAGAGAATCAAACGAGGAATGGTATTAACTTATTCTTGATCAACACCGTAGGGAGACCGGCCCATTTAAAACTAAAAGGATCAATACTGGCCAGAACTCAAATAACACACACACACACACACACAACCGTAACATGGAGTTCATAAAGTGCTTAACCTTGAATGTAGACTATAGCATTAAAACTAGTCAAAATTGAAATGAAATATATAAGAAACAGCAAATACTGGTTGCCTATAGCAAAACAGAATTTTAAAAGACATTTAAAGTATAATATTGATATTTAAATATCTTCCTAACTCAAAACGGCGGTTTTAAACGTCAAATCATTTTCTCATGTTGTGCTGCAGAGATCTGTTAACAATTAAAGAAGAAAATCCACCACCATATACACCCTTTGGGGGGAAAAAAAACAATGTGAGTCAGTATGTGTGTGTGAGAGAGAGACAAAGACACTGGATTTTCTAAACTGTCCATTTGGTTTACGAACTATCATGTGTGACTGAACTCCAAAACCGGTTTCCGGAAATAAACACACCACTAGATTTCAATTGGACATTGACAAAAACAGTAATTTCTTCATTTACTAAACACACAGCCAGTCACAAACAACTCCACAAATAAAAAAATAAATAAGTGCACATGAAACAATTTTTGTTTTAAAGTGGAGCATATTAGATTAGTTGTTCTTAAACGGTTTTGGATGTCAAGTGTCTTAAGTGCCTTAAAATCAGAATATTATATGTTTTTCAAGGATGACATTACGTAACCTATACATTTTGCCAATTGGCGGATTAATTTTCTCCCAAATACCACTTGAGTGGATGCACAGCCTTTGAGGTCAATGACAAAAGGTGTGGAAAACATTTTCTTCTTTCTTTTAAAAACAGAAAATGCTATTTATTTTCTATTCTAACAGTCCATAATTATATAGTTAGTCGCACAGTTGCATTTTCGCCTAATCATCAGGACAGACCTGAGACCCAATTTTAGGTCACGACCCACCAGTTGAGAGGTTAAAAACATCTGATGTTACACACCTTACAGCTCTCACAGGTCAGTAACCCGTAGTGATATCCGGACACCTTGTCTCCGCACACTGGACACATTTCGTCCAAGTCTTCGTCGTAGGAGTAGTCCATCATTTTAAACTGGGGGGCTGAAAATCACAATCAAAATATGAGTAACAATTTACATTAGAGAGTTTTAGATGTTTTTGTAATTATGGCAAAAAATGGTTTGGCAGTCTGATGTTTTAGGAGAATATTTTTAATGTGACACTCAACCGAAGAACCTAAAACACCAAGAACTGTTTGAATCTCTGAACAACCATACAGAAGCTCAAAACCAAACGAAAGGGTTACTGGACGATTCTTTGATTAACAATTCAACAATCTTTATTTTTAAGCGTGTAAAACACATAGTTTATGTTAACTGTCTCTTCGATACCTTATACGTGTAGCCTGCACGCCCTGCAGTTTTGCAAACAAGTCTATAACAAAAGTCGAGGAATCACCAGTTGTGAGCTTTACAAAATCTTAGCCTTAAGAGTGGATTTTCTGGAAGTATATGCAGTTCTGGGTCTCTAGGAGATAGCCGAAGCTTCGAGTCGGGTGAGGAGGATGGTCGCAGACATGGCAAAACTTCCGTTTCGATCTGGTTAATATTCAATTGGTATGGGAGCGCGAGAGAGGCTGCTGTCTCGCGCTGGAGTGGAACGTTTAGCCACGAGGCGAATAAAAGCAAAACATGTAAATACACGAGTACACCGTGGCATGTGCCTTTTGTAGCCTATATTTGGGACAAATATTTTCTCTGTAAATGATATATATTTTTTATTTCATCTTCGTCTTTTAAGTAGCATTAACATTGATGAAGTGATGCAGTTTGAGAGTTCTAAATAGAACCATCAACTTTTACTTAAAACGAGGTATTTTGGAACAGCATGTGAAGAAAAGGGACATTCGAATTGGATTTGTATTCTATAGGAAAAAGAAACAGACAAATCTTTTGTGAAGCAAACCGTTAAGCTATAAAATATAACATGTTCGGATTTTCGTTTATTATTAGCCTACTCACTATTCTAATGTTCCCATTAGTTAGGCTATTATTTGTGCAAAATTATTATTTTTTTTAACAGAACGCAACAAGTGTTTAAAAATGCTCACATTTTTTGTATCGTTGTAGTAGAATAATTCCAAAAGCATTACTTCTGAAGGTTTTTCAGTTCGTCGATAATTCTCTTTTTTTATTTACATTTTAAAATTGACTAAATAATGCCGTTCCTTGATTTGAAACAAAGAATCGTTATTTATAACGGCTTGTAATTATTTTCTGACTTGTGCTCGAGCAGCGTAAAATAGCTAGAATACACATAAATTGAAATATTTGAATTTAAAAAGACATTCTTGTTTTTAAAAAAGCTCGTACCAAACTATACAACATTCCACGAGCTGAAGTTCTCTCGTGTATGAATTGGAATCTCTCTATAGCCTACTTCTCCCTTCAGTTTAAATATATTCCTCGATTATAATAGTTACTTAAATGCTCGCAACGCGTGGAGATAAAATTTGATTTCTACGACTGTAAATGTATGTTCTTTAAAAAAAAAAAAAATTTTTACAAATCACAAAAGAACCTATTCTTGTCAGTAGCCTAACCATTTGTCGCGGAGTTGCTCTATGGTTCTTTGGATATGAAAAAGTTATAGCCTATTTTGAGTTCTTCGTATTTTATCCAATGCATAGATGGTTTTATAAAACAATTTTGTACTGACTGGAACCTTTATTTAAAAAAGTGCAGCTCATGTCGGCTTAACTATTTTGGACCAGCAGATTTATGTTTGGCGTAAATCTGCGCTCTGTCATAGTCATTATTGTGGTTTCGTTTCCCCCTCCTGTTGTATATACGAAGACCAAATTCATTGGCAGGTGATGCAGATCATGTTGAGTTTATAAGAGTTCACTCAGCTCAAAATAATTCACGCTCTGCTATTGCACTTTGTTTCCTAATTTATCTTTACGCGGCCACCCAGTGCATGTTTAAGCACGAGTCAATTATAGTAAAAGTAAACGCAAATATTTTGTTTGCAAACCTAAACTTCTGTTTAGCCATTTTGTAGTAAATTATTTTCTCATTCTTCAAATTTCAGTGACAGAACGAGTGCAAGTTATATTTGTGGCATGCGGTGTTCATAAAAGGTCACTGAGTGTAAAATATCTGACAATGAGAGGTTTGATATTGCGTGCATGAATGAAAGCGTTACTCTGACACGTATGCCGCTTACCTTGCATATTTCTAGGCATATGCCCCTGTTCCCCATGCGATCGAGCGAGTCCCAGAGATTCTGAATCGACTTTAGGCAGCATGACAGCTCTGCTGAGCCGATGATGAGCACGCGCCTCTCCGCCTGCGCGCGAGGAACACCAGAGACTCTCAAAAACACCGTCCAAACGTCCGAAACAAATCCCGTGTGTGTGTGTGTGTGTGCACCTACAAGACGCCTGCCTTTCTTTTAGGAGTTGTTCACACGCGGTGTAAGTTCATTAGGGTGGTCTTTGCAGCGACTAAGATGCTGCTCTTTAAACCGGAGTGCGCGTGCTGTCAGGAACTTCACGCGAGCCCCTCCTCCGCGCGCTCTGCGTCGCTCTATCTGTGAAGTTCAAACGGCTCCTCGCTGCTTTGTTTACGCCGCACCGACACCGCGTCAGCCAATCAGCGCTGCGTTCGCTGCGTTGGCGTCACGCGTTTGTCCAATCAGAATCGAGCCAGAGAATCAGCGCCTTCGCCTTCAAACGCCGACAAACTAAACTAATTGAACATTACGAGACACGCAGCGCCGTTAACGGGAGCACCGGGAGGTATGTGGTGATATACCGGAGGGCAAAGTGTTTGTGTGTATTAGAAAAATATTTCTGAGTAGGGAGGGTGGTGGGAAGCACGAGAAAATTACACAAGATGTGCTCTAAAATTGATGTTTGAAATTTATTTGCGATTTAATTGTAGTGTAGTCTATTTTGTGGCATCAACATGCTCTTGAAATGCTCTATGGGATTTTAGAGTTGAATTAATGGAAAAAAGAGAGCAAAAAAAAATTAGGAAATGCCTTGTGTTGTGTGTTAAAGGTGCACAGTGAAAATAGTTTTGTAATTTGTTTTAGGCTATTTTATATATATTATAAATTAATTAATTTTGAAAATACAAAAATATTTTGTCCTTTTATAGTTTTAATATTAAATTTGTTTACATGTAAAATTATTTCTACAAATACTGTGGGGGAAAAAGATGCAGGCTAAGGAATATCTCGATAAAATGCTTTTTAATGCACATTGCCTAAATGTGAGTTGTGTGATGATATAATGGTAATAATACACTGTAATAAAATCATAAAAACCCGTTAGACAAAACCTGTAATATGATAACAAACGTCGGCAACATATAACGAAAACAACTGGCACATATAGACGCAATATTTACATTCATACGGAAGAAAATCACCACGAATCCACACACATTGTTATACAGGTTAAAACACGTCTTTAGTTTCCTTCCCTTCACGTCGACATTATTGCCTTTCAATAATAATTTCAAACATTTCATGAAAATCTAAATATATTTATGTAATGTTAAATATTTTCCATTTATATTATGTAATATTAAATGTTTTCTATAATAATAGGCTATACTACCACTATAATAGTTTTCAAATGGTTACAAATTACCATTAATAGCCTACATTCCGCTACTTTTCCGCTCCTCAGTCGTCTTATCGGTAACAAAACAGCGCAATAAAAATCCTAAAATGCTGTTTATGTCATTCCACTGGTTATAAAACGCACTGCATCCTGGTTTAAAAACAAAATAAAGTCTTAATAACCCAAGACGGCGATAAAGCCAGTAAAGACGTTCAGAAAACACAAAATAATCGTCAACAGGCCAGCTCTCCACATCTGGCCATAATCTTGCGCTACAGTATATAAACAACTAGACGCAGACTGCTCATATTCTGTTCAAGTCTGTTGAATATTACAATGAGGACTAATGAATAATGCAATTTTTAACAGAGCAAACAGAACAAAGTTAACCACTTACCCAAGTCTTTACTGGAGTCACGTTGTCCCAGTTCACTCTCAAAACTAGTGGACATTGTAGAACCAAAACACCATCAGGTGATCCACCTGAGCAACTATATCCTATACAACATTTCCATTCTTTCAAACCTTTGAAGCTTCCTCAATAAGCATCCATGAAGAAAAGTGAGGTGTTTTTGAGGAAAGCGGCCGCCTGACATCTCTCCCTTTACTTTCACACACACCACTCACCCCTGACACCCGCCCCCCACCACCACCACCACCATGACCTGCACTAAACCTGCAGTTATATCTCACCTACTCAACAATATTCAAAACTTCTGAGGTTGATAGGTTTGCCTAGATCACGTGGAGTTAGACAGATTGATAACAACCAGTTATAAAGTGACACACAGATAGATAAGCCAAAGCGCACAGATAGTACTGAAGAAATGATTAACCGGTGGACAAGAGAGTTCGAACCGCCATCCACGGCAATGACTGAATGGAAATAAGACAGATGGTAAAACACCAGATCAAAAGAACACAGCAGGTTGATACCGGGCCGCAAACTTTGAACTACTTCTACCAAACACTAGAACACAGAGTGAGCTTGTTTTATGGGACCTGTGAGTATCAGGATGGACTCACGTGTGCTCAGCGGGATAAGAAATTTTGATTTACCTGGAGATGTTCCAGGATGTAGTGACAGACAGGCCGTCATCTCACAGATGCATATCAATGGAAATGCAAACAAAATCCAAATATATATGGTTTATACTATAGGTGTTTGTACAGAGGCCTAAATGTATTTTATTTATTTACTGAAATCGACAAATTTGGGCCTCCGCTCAAACAATATTAATATCTTTTATATTATATTATATTATATTATATGCAAATAATGTGTTAATATAAAATAATTAATAACATAAACATTTATAAAAATATCTATCTATCTATCATCTATCATACACTATAGATGTTTGTACAAAGGTTTAAATTAATTAATTATATATATATAATGTGAGTGTGTATGTGTATATATATATATAGAGAGAGAGAGAGAGAGAGAGAGAGAGAGATCTTTTTAGACAGATTGAACTGTTTGAGGTTTTTAATTATTCTGTCTTTCTGTCCCTCTCTCTTTCACTTGATCTACAGCGCTCCACACAAAAGAGCAATTTCATGTAAGTTGAGGGGCAACAATGCCATCTAAATTTGGCGACAAAAGATAAAGTGTCTCGGGACAAGTGGCCTGGCAAACACAGGCCTGTTGACTGAAGCGCGGGGACCTAATGACCCTCATGTCACTGGCCCACAGCAGCTACAAGAGAGAAGACAACAGAGTGAGGCCGTCTTGACTACCATAAGTGGACGTGCGCTGATAACACAAGGGGTACCTGAGAGCTCTTTGCTTACCAGAGAGATTACCGGCCCGCCGAGGCTCAAAGCTGGGGGATTTGTCAACTTAACCCCTGTCCCCGTTCCTTTTTTTCCTCCTTCAGCCGTGTTTTACAATGCTGGATGGACCCCTGCACTAAACAGAGGTCTTTACAGCAGAATAAAACATGGTTAAGTGTAGCAGGCTGGGGTCAAGGTTTCAATCGTGGAGGAGAGGGCTTCAGGAGCTAATGAAAGCGGAATCCTGCACTCTGACTGCCAGCCACGCTCAGTAATCTATTCAACTCGTCTACATGCCAAGAGACATGTTTATATCAGCTGAAATTATTGTGGTGACTTGCAAAAATGGTCATTCTTCTATGTAGTCTATTATTGGATAGATAGTGAAGTGAAGTGACATGTGGCCAAGTATGGTGACCCATACTTAGATAGATAGATAGATAGACAGACAGACAGATTTATATTTATCTTTTATAAATGTTTATATTATTATTTTATATTAACACATCATATGTCATATGTATATTAGTGTGATATATAATTTGAAGTATAAAATACATATTTAATTAATTAACTTAGTTAAATCATGTATTTTATAATATATATGTATATATATGTATGTATATATACTGTATATGTATGTGTATATGTATATATGTATATATATGTATATGTATATATATAT